ATTTAATGAAACAGCTCTTAAACATGTCTATCTTCCTTTTCTTTCTTACATTTGCTCAGTGAAATCAGGTAGCGTCTTTTCCAACCTTTCTGCGTGATCATAACGAAATAGTCCATTACTTGAGGTATTGGCAAAAGACATTAAATGCTATCTTTCTTTCATTTTCTCACTGAACCCAAGTAACATCTTTTCCCCTCTTTCCGTGTGATCATAATGAAATAGTCCTTTATTTATGAGATTCTGGCAGGACATAACGGTCGTGTAAAATAACAAAGGGAAGAACAAGTATATTTACCAAAGGATTATTTTTAAAATTCTTTTTAAACTTTTGTAGAAATATTTTTAGGCCTGCCATTGAATCAACACATACATATGAACACACAAATGTATATACACAATTTGAATGAAACTAAAATGGACACCTGTGTCATGACAGAGTTCGATATGCCATGAAACAAAAACAACCAACGTATGATATAAGAATTAATTTCTAATTTTTAAAGAACTTGTAATTTCTTGTTGACAACTTGTTTATTTTCTTCCCTCACCCTACTCTTCTGATTCAATGAGAGTGTGTAGCACATGGCGAGTCAAAGTCATAGCTCAGTTTTTATGGGAGTCAGACACCTGTAGACTATCTATTTTCAGAATTACGACATAACTTACCTGCATCTTTGATACTGAAATCAAAATCAGATATTCTTTTAATAAAGATTTTAACACCTTTACATCCAGACTAATATCCTTATCTTTCATCTTTTTTTACCATAATGTTCATCCTGTACAAGGCCTGGTGGCCACTCAAGGTAGAGAGTTATGTTAAGGGGTAGTTTATACAGATAGGAGGGGAAGATAATGGTTAACCCTAGACTTGAAAAGGTTAAGATTGTAGTGATTGGGGAAAGCATCCTCTTGGGAGTCAGTTCCACAAAGTAGGTAGAGTTTTACAGAGTAAGAGGTACAATTTATGCAGATAGGTGGGTAAGATAACGGTTAACCCTAGACTTGAACAGGTTAAGATTGTAGTGATTGGGGAAAGCATCCTCTTGGGAGTCAGTTCCACAAAGCAGGTAGAGTTTTACAGAGTAAGAGGTACAATTTATGCAGATAGGTGGGGAAGATAACAGTTAACCCTAGACATGAACAGGTTAAGATTGCAGTGATCGAGGAAACATCCTCTTGGGAGTCAGTTCTACAGAGCCGTGGTTTGCGTGAAGATGCTGCTTGAGTGGAACTTCTACACCAATGGTTACTTATTACCGAATGCTTCTTTCTTTCTTTTTACAGCGAGGTTCACCCAGTACAAGATCCAGGGGTCACTCAAGGTCGAGGATTACAGAATAAGAATTACAGTCTATATGGATATGTGGAGAAGATAACAGTTAACCCTACACTTGAATAAGTTAAGATTGTAGTGATGGGGGAAGCATCCTCTTGGGAGTCAGCTCCACAAAGCAGTGGTTCACAGGTAGAGTTTTACAGAGTAAGAGTCACAATTTATACAGATAGGTGGAGAAGGTAATGGTTAACCCTAGACTTGAACAGGTTAAGATTGTAGTGATTGGGGGAAAGCATCCTCTTGGGAGTCTGTTCCACAAAGCAGGTAGAGTTTTACATTCACAATTTATGCAGCTAGGTGGGGAAGATAACAGTTAATCCTAGACTTGAACAGGTTAAGATTGTAGTGATTGGGGAAGCATCCTCTTGGGAGTCGGTTCCATAAAGCAGGTAGAGTTTTACAGAGTAGGAGGCCCAATTTATACAGATAGGTGGGGAAGATAACGGTTAACCATAGACTTCAAAAGGTTAAGATTGTAGATCGGAAAAACATCCTGTTGGGAGTCAGTTCCACAGAGTAGTGGTTCACAGGTAGAGGCTTACAGAACAAGAGACAGTTTATGTGACTAGGTGGGAAAGATAACAGTTAACTCTAGATTTGAACAGGTTAAGATTGTAGTGATCGAGGAAACATCCTCTTGGGGGTCTGTTCAGCAGAACAGTGGTTTGCGGGAAAAAACTGTTTGAGTGGAACATATGTCTCACCAATGGAATACAGAAGAAATGTGGGTGGTTTACTAATATGTAAGTGGTATGGTGGGTCCAAGCCATGAACATCAGACCTAGCAGAACCAAGGAATATAGTTCATCTGAGTGCTTTCCATGGAAGTAGCGATAAAGCAGTAAAAGGCTCACCACATCCCACTTGTGAGAAAGAGGTTAGAGGGTGGAAAATAACTCTTCTCCAAGAACTCTGAGATGTTTCTGATCTCTATCGAGACTGGAAAGTGAGGACTGGGCAGCTCCTGTCCAAATATGACAACAGTTCTCCATTTTCGCCCTGATCTGGCTCATATAAAGGTAGAGGATAGCATGAGGAGTCAGGTGCTTACTGGAGTGGTACAATGAGCCTGCCATTTTACCTGCTTCTTTAGTGATGGATCATTTGTACCTGTTCCACTTGAAGTAAGGCATGAGTTTGAGACACAATATTCTCTCAAAGCACGGTGTCTCCTCAAGGAGACATTCACTCATATGGAGGGAATATCTCTTCTCTCTCTCTCTCCCTCCCTCTCTCTCTTTTCTCCCTTTGGTATGAAGGTTAGACCTGGTGAAACTAAAAAATGTTGTTCGTCTCAGCATTTTCGATGGAAGTAGCGATAGAGAAATGAGATGCTCACCACATCCTGCCTGTGAGAGAGCGGTTGAAGGGTGGAAAATAGTTCTTCTCTTGGAGACACTTATCAAGAATGGAAAGTGAGGACTGAGCAGCTCCCACCCAATTGTGACAACAGTACTCCATTTTGGGGCCTGATCTGGCTCTTATAAATGTAGACGAGGATGTCAGGTACTTACCGAAACAGTACAGACAGCTGATCAATTTATCTGTATCTTTAGAAATGGATCATATATAAGGGTCCCACTTGAAGTCAGGTGTTAGTTTGTGGCACAATATTATCTCACAGCACACTGCCTCCTTGAGGGGACATCCATTTATTGTGACTGGCGGTAGTTCAGGGTCTGATCAGTGGTGACGGAATGTAACTAGTTTGATTTACTCGCTTGACTTCTTTAGCTGTTTTGTAGCCGGTAACCTGAGAAGTTTGAATCACGCCCATTATTCAATCCATGTGTGTCAAGTTTTTGTTCTGATTTCAATGCTTAGAGGATATTTCATATCAGTCAATTCTCATTGTTACAGGTTGCCTAGATTAGTTTATTCAGACAGTGCCTGCTAACATTTAATAATAAACACAATGATCCGAGATGTCAAAAGCAAGGACATCAAAAACGAGGACTTCAAATAAATAAGCCAAAATTTATTCTTGGCAAAATACAATTCCAAGAAAGAAAATACGAAAGGTAGATGTTTGAAAGAGTTCCGGAGAAATAAGATGAAAAAGCTGTAGGTCAGAAAGTCAAAATTTAGTAGAGCAGAGTCTTCTCAACATGGGTGAAATTCACCCCCAGGAGGTGAATTTGGGATTTTCAGGGTTGAATTGTGACCACAGTAAGTTTAGTCGGGGGAGTAGAGCAATTATAGAATTTGGCCTATCTGGCTTGTCACCTTGAAAAGGAAGGGGGAATGGCATTCTGACAAATAATGAAAGGAGTGCATGGGGTAAGCAAGGTTGAGAAACCCTGTACTAGACTGTTTGCCACCTGAGGCTGAAGGGCCCATTTTGCTCTACTATTTAGCCCAGTAATAGGCAAACTGCATCCCATGGGCCACATGTGATCTGTTTGGCTTTCAGAATTTCACGCCTAATATCATGAGAAAAGTAATATTTCTTAAAATTTGGTTTGTTTGGTTTTGTTCTCACTTATTCACTCACACGCTCTCTCACACATAGCCACATACATAAAATGTAATTAAATGCAATGTTCCTTGAACTTGTAAATTTTCATTGACGGTAACGTTTTCATCATTTTAAATCATTGGCAATTTTCACCAAGTTTTTATTGCAAAGACCGTTTTTACAGGATGGAATTGCTAATCAATCCTATGCCAAATAGTTTTGAATTTAGAGTTGTCCTTCTCTTAGACCAGGGGTGAATTTTGGATTTTCAGGGATGAATTGTGACAACAGTAAGTATACGGAAGGGAGGAGAACAATTATAGAATTTGGCCTATCTGGCCTGTCACCTTGAAAAGGAGAGGGGGAAATGGCATTCTGACAAAATGGTGAAAACAGTGCATGGGGTAAGCAAGGTTGAGAAACCCCTATAGTAAGTAGAGAAAAATGTTCATTTGTCATTTATTCTTGGCAAATACAAAATACAATTCCAAGAAAGAAAATACAAATGGTACATGTTTGAAAGAGTTCTGGAGAAATCAGATGAAAAAGCTGTGGTTTGGAAATCGAAATCTAGTAATGTGAAATGTTCATTTGTCATGTACTAAAATAGATTGAAGAAAAAGGTTTATGTAGCGCCTCTGACAACGGAACCTTAACAATTGGTATATTACACAAAACCAGTATCCTTTGTGTTGTTTGTCTGTTTTTTTTTTTGTTTTTTTAGCTAAGTCTCATTAAATACAAGGCTCGGGAGTCCCTCAAGGTAGTGAAGTACAGTCAAAATGGTAATGATGAAGTAGAAGGTGGTAGGTAATAGAGATTGGGAAGATAAGGAGATTGGACCCTTGACTTGACGAGTTCAAGACTGTAGTGTTAGAGGGTAAGCACCCACACAGGAGTCTGTTACACAAAGTGGCAGTTCTTTCAGGTAAAATGCCCTTATATTTAGAATATGGGAGAAGTAAGGGTGATTCAACTCCATGGATATAGCAACGGCATATCCTAGCAGTAAAGGTCTGAACGGGTAGAATGAGTATCTCTTTGGCATTTCAAGTTTACAAATTTAAGAGCAGTACTAGATTGGCAGTTAGGTCTCATTTTACAGTTTAAATTTCTCAATGTAGCTGTAACTTCTATGCTAACAGTTACTTCTCTCACACTTCTCACCTGTGGAACTCTCTTCCAGCGCTTATAGTCACCTCACATTGAAAAACTGGTTTCCATATGATCACTGAAGTTAAGCAACATCAAACCTGGTCTGTACATAGATGGGTGACCAGTTGGGAATACCAGGAGCTGTAAGCTTGGATGTGCATGTGGTGTAATAGATAATGGCTCAGAATTGTTAATTGGAGAGCCAAGTTCCAATTCCTATTCGGTTCATTATATTCACTTACACACAAATGCCCTTGGGAAAGATATGAATCCACTTCTTCCCCCCACTATGGGTTAATTAGTAAGAATTGCATCACTAAAAGGATTATTAACAAAAAAATAAAATAAAATAAATACAAACTATGCACAAAATATTTCGATTTCAACATTAATTTTGTTTTTTAATAGAATTCACTCCAAAGCAAGGCAGTAAAGCCACTAAGACACAAAGGGGACTGGGTGTGGCAGAATTAGGAAACAGAAACATTACTAAGAAGAGAAAACAATATAAGAGTAATCAGGAGGACAGTAGATAACAATTGATATTAAATTTAAATTTTTGAATATCAAATTTGGCTGGAAAACATGCAACTGGAAGGTACCCATTTTATGGAGTCTACATTTTTTCCTCCAGGTGACTTGTAGTCGCAACAACAGCAGAAAAGAAGCAAGAAGTGCAAGAAAAGAAATTGTTGTCATACAACTTACGGTTGCATCTAGCCAATTCAACTGTAAATTGAAGAGACCTAACTGCCAATCTAGTACTGTGCTTAAATTCAAAGTCTCGGGAACCATAAAGGAAAGTTCATCCGAACAATTACCATGAAAGTATTTATAGAAGAGACACAAAAAGGCAAACTTATGGTGGTGAAAAAGTGACTGAAGCCAAGATGCCAAGTCAGGACCAATAATATTGCTTATTCTTTTATCAAGAATAATATAGCTGGATGAATAACCCATAGAGGTTGATTTCTGCTAAACTAAAGCAACCAACTAAATCTCTTCCAGCTTCTTGCTTCCCAATCAACTTTGATCTTCAAAAATTTCAATGCAATGTCAATCGTCATCTTCTGTCTTCTTAATTCCTCTTCTTTTATTGTCCTTTCCCCTCACTAAAGTCTTCTAATTCTCTTTCACTCTTCTTACTTTCCAGTCAACTTTGATCTTCAAAAATTTCAATGCAAAGTCAATCGTTATCTTCTGTCTTCTTAATTCCGCTTCTTAATAATGTTTTACTTTTTCTCATTCTTTCACACTTAGTAACCTTTTATCTTAGTGGCTTTGTTGCCTTGTTTAGGATGAAAGTTTTTTTTTTTTAAATGTTTTCTCAATCACTCTAATCTCAGCCTAAGTCTTAGAGTTATTTCTCTTACATAGCCTCATAAACTCTACTTCTGCACTAACCTTTTTATGCTCATACGTCATTCAGATACACTCTACCCTGAGTGGCTCTTGTGACCCTGTATTTGGTGAACAGACATGTAAATTTTTAAAAAATTTTATTTATTTTAAATGGACAAGCAATTTAGGTTTGAAATTTTATCATCTTGAAGTTGGCAAAGAGACAGATAACTAACTAATTAAAAAAATTCTAATATAAACTTTTAAACCCAATGTCACCATGACCAAACGATATAATCAGCATGGATGACTAAACATTGCGTAAGATTGGATTTATAGCCTGAAAAAGTTGACCCGCACTTGGTGGTGGTGGTGGGGGGTCAATATATATATATATATATATATATATATATTTGGTTGGATAGATGTGAGTTTGTGACCCTGGGTTTCACGCTTTAGCGATCGTCAGACAAACTGATTAATGTTTTAAAAAATTTGGGTTTATGTAGATTGCGTGTATTGGTGTTATTGTGGAAGTGGTGGGGGAAATTTCGTCGTTTTGTCATTCATCGTACTAACGCAAACATCGATGTATGCAAACACATATACATGGTCGTCCGTCGGGACTCATACATATATAAACATATGTGGGCAGGGTCACAAACTCACATCTATCCAACCAAATATGTTAGCTCTATCTCTGATATTGAGCGCTTTCTAATAAGTACCGCGCATAAATAATTATACATATATATATTTATTTATATTATACACATATATATTTATTTAATTATATATATATATTATTTTATATTTACTTTTCACATTTGAAGCAGACGCTTCTTACTCTAGGTAACTTTTTAACAGATTTTTAAATCATGAATAATTTCTGGAATGACATTGATCAAAAATAAAATATCTACAAGTATATATATTTTTTGTATTTAGCTTTCACCTTTACGTTTACGATGCTTTATGGAAAATATTTTATAAAGAAATTTCTTTATAAAATATTTTCCATAAGCATAAGACTGTTAAGAGTGAGATTAAATTTCATATTTCATAAGAAAAAGGTATCTAATTAATTTATAGGTACCTTTCTTATGAAATTTTATCAGAAGTGTACATAAAATACTATAATTTTATGTACATTTATTACATTTTACAGTGTTATTTGTATTTCCATTGATTTTATTATTAATTTTGATATTTCATTTATGGAAAAATGTCATAACTGAGATTAATATAAAAATACGATCATATAAATTTCATAATATGATACTTGTAGGTACCCTTCTCAGTTGAAATTGAAAAATCAAATTAACTTCTCCACACGTGTTTCGCAAAACTAAAAGTTAAAGGCCTTAACAGCGGAGAACAATGCATAACTCAAATAATGCAACTTAATTGTATTCTGGTTGGTCTTCCGTACTTTATAATTACAGCCAGATTATAAACAAAAAAAATTACATTTCTTAATTACTGCGGGTCTTCTGATTAATCAAAACGTTATAATTTACAACGCGCTAAAAAAAGATCTATCTCATAAGGACACTTAGGAAACCCGATGCAGCTTTTAACTAATTTTATAATATTTTAACAACTTAAATGTAAAAATCTATTATAACGAAATAAATAATTGTATTAAAATTTGCTTTCAGAAAATATTGTCCATATTCATAAAAACAGCTAAAAAAACAAATAAAAGCATCTGAAATTAAATAATATCTTTGTTTTATTGAGTTTTGTTACTTTTGTATGTTACAATTCAGAGCTGATTTTTAGGTAGTGTGGATCCAATAAAAAAAAAACAAAAAAAACATGATTTGCATTCCTCAAAGCCTTGTGCTTTTAACTATTGTAATTACTAAACCCGATGCGATCGAATTTCTAGCGTTTTCATAAAATTAGTTATGGTTGGGGTAATAAATATAAAAAATATTTCTGCAATGACTTTAATAAAAATAAAAAAAAATTATTTATAATAATTTCGATCATTTGTGAATAGTTTCTGAAAGTTTCATTAACATCCGACAATTATTTTTATTTTTGCAAGATTTTCCAAATTAATGTGTCATACAAAAAAAACGTGCTAAAAATTGTATGTTTTACTAGTACCTGTGATACAAAGAGAAACAAGTTTTTTTTATCAAAATTTAGAATGTTCTAAAAAGAAAGAAAATTTTTTTAAAATAATTAAAAAAAAAAAAACTTTGGTCTTTCCTCTTAATAATAACATGAACATTTAGACGATAAAATTTTGTTTTCGTCAAGTTTAGCGTCTTTTTCGTCATGCTATGGATGCTATTTTTTTTTAGCCATTTCGTGGAGTTACCTACATAAAAGTAAAACCAATGTCACTATGACCAAATGGTACAATCAGCATAGATGACTAAACATTGCGTAAGATTGGATTTATAGCCCGAAAAAGTTGACCCGCACTTGGTGGTGGGGGGTGTGATATCGATTTTATGTGGTGGGGGGTCCTGCTCGTAGTTCAATATATATATATATATATAAATTTTTGAAGCAGACACTTCTTACTTTAGGTAAAGGGGTGGTTTATTATTAGTAATACTAACTTTTTAAACAGATCATAATAATTTCTGGAATGCCATTAATTTATCAAAAATAAAATATCTACAGATATTTCACAAAATTGCATCCAACGACATTTTTAAAAAAAAAAAATCATGTTTAGTTTACACTTTACAGTTTTAGTCTTCTTAGACATAAAAATTAAATTGAAAGCAACAAATAGAGGGGGATGTTTTCGACCTCCCGTCCATACATTTATTTACTATAACCATTGAGTTATACTCGCAGATAGACACCAATGTATTGTTGGTAGCAGATCTACAAGCTCGGCTTATTTTTTTTTTTTGGGGGGGGGGAATAGTATAAAGAGTTTAAGTCTTCTTATTTAATAAGAGAACGAAAAAAAAGGGGCTGATTTGAGAAATCCAAGTAGTCAATTTTATTAGGACAACTGCAAGGGTTACACGAAGACTCTCATGGGGCAAGATACCCTACACCCAATCCATTTTATATTTATTTATTTATTTTAAATTAAGATTTACTGTCGCAATATCGTAAATGTAGTATTGTCAATAAATACAATATACATCCGATGGTTGATTAGCTCTGAGTTCATGGGGTTCAACACAGGATGATTTTCGACAAATTGACTATTTAATTTTAAATTAACAATGCTTCTTTGAAAAAAAAAGTATTCAACAAGAAGACGTTCCTAATTAAGACGAGACAAAAAAATTCTAAGAAAAAATAAAAAACGATAAAAAATCAAGATATATATATATATATATATATATATATATATATATATATATATATATTTTTTTATATATATATATATATTTACTTGTGTATGCACACTAACGCACGTACATACGGTTGCTAATATCTAGTTATTTGATTAATACACACACACACACACACATATATATATATATATATATATATTACAAGCCTGTTTTTTTTTAAATTCTACATCATTTTCTTCAAAATCTAACATTTTAAAATAAAAATAAATTAATAAATTTTATTGATAAGACACGCGGACGCACCTTGATTATGACATGAGTATGACAATTCGACTAACTAAAATTAAAAATATTACATTTCAAAATTCAACTCAAAAGACATTTCCGAAGACTAAAATTACTGTGTACAGATATCTTCCAAACTCATTATCACCCAGAATATTTTTTCTTTGTTGTTGTTAAATGTTAGATTTGACAGAGTTCGAAATGACACTGAAGAAAAACTGTTCTCTACCTACAACGA